ATATCCTGACAAGACAAAAAACCAGCAGTGAGGACAAGCAGCCTGACACCTCCAGTGTCAGGAATATTTCACTAATATTTCTGCATACAAGAGCTCAAATAAGCCCATACATGGCCCCACAACCATTTATAGTACTCTGACTCTCCAAGCTCCAGTTTGTATCCAGTGTAATGTCCTACAGTATATCAATAGGACATCTGTTTGCCAATTGATGTAATTATATCTGCTGTTACTGACCTCATACAATCATACCAGCTATCAGTTTATTCAAGATGCCCCATTCACTCATCTTGCCCACTTCTCACTCCCACAATTGTGACTACATCACTACTCAATAGGCAGTCAAAATTCTGAAACAGAAATCATGTCCCATGTATGCTCTTTCTCCCATAGAGTCCATGTCATCAATCTCTCACTAATTCAAACTCTTATCTTGCTTACCTTTGACTGTTCCACAAAATGGCTCATAATAAACATCAAAAAACTATCAAGAAATCAATCAATAGTAAAGCTGGCAGGGATGTGAGGGAAAAAGGAACCCTCTTCCACTGTTGATGAGAAGGTAAACTGGATCAACAACTGTTGCAATCAGTGTAGTGATTCCTCAAAAAGCTAAAACTAGAGCTTACATTTGAACCAGCTATTCCCCATTTTGGTACCTCCCCAAAAGTATCAAAGCATCATTCCACCTAGATATATGCACACCCATGTTTATAGTGGCAAAGTTTGTAATAGCTAAATCTTGTAAACAGCCCAAATGCCCATCAATCAATTAATGAATAAAGATGTGAGTTTTTATACAATGGAGTACTATTCAGCCATAAAAAGGATAAGCTTGAGACATTTCTACCTAAATGGATACACCTTAAGACCATCCTCTTAAGTGAAATAAATTGGATACACATGTTTAAAAATCACATTGTTTCTCTGGTATGAGAAATTGAAAGTATAAATGAGGACCACAATATGTGCTAGATATTATGAAATAGGAAGGAAATGCTCAATTGGGAAGGGGAGTTAGGGCAGTAGTGGGGGAAAGGATGGAGGGGAAAAGAAAAATATGAGAAAGGGAAAAATTGACACAAAGCTGTTATAAATAAGAAGGAGGATAGGGATTTAAGGAAAGATAAAGGGGGGGTAAAAAGTGGAACTGAGATAAGTCATGTACAGAGCAAATTCTCTATGATAAAAGTGATCATTATGTATATTTAAAATGTACCATAAACTTAACAAATAAAGAAAACTATCATATTGGCCCAAGATATTTAGGTATAGGTGAAGATAAACAGGGATTCACAAAGTGTTTACAATAGACATGCTTGGAAAAAATAAAGTTTCTTTAAGTTTTTTGTATTTGTACCCTGCCAAATGCCAGTCATCCAATAAAATACTGTGCAAATGTTTAAACATTCCTGTAGCCTAAGAAAGAAAATTCTTACCTGAAATATCACAGTGTATTTCCTTGAAAATCTCCAAGAGGCGTTACTTAAATTCATGAGTTTTAGACTAGAGAGATAGCAAGATCAGAATGAAAGGGAGGAAGAAGAAAAGAAGGAAGGAGGAAAACAAAAAAGCAAAGACAACTTCTAGGGAAGCTGATGAGCAGTGAGAAACTGACAGTCAGTGACATTCTATGTTAGAAGTTCTCAAATTTTAATGCACATAGGAATCACTTGGAGCTCTGTTCAGACTGCAGAGTCTCATTCAAGAAGTCGAGGTCAAAATCTGAGTAACTAGGACGACAGCTGTGTGCCACCACACTCAGCTTTAGAAATCTTATTTTAGAGCAGAAGAAGAGAACCTAAGAAGAAATACTAAGTTTTTAGAAGGAAAAAGTGACAGGTGGTTTTTTTTAAAGCTTAAATTAATTCTCACATTTGCACTGATTTCAAATGCCTCTCTGTTGGCAAGTGACACCAAAGTGAAAACTGACAATTTATTTAAAGGATCAGGACCAAAATGGATGAAAGATATTGGGAAGTAGGGAGAAAATGTTCAAATGGGAAGGGAACAAAGGAGGGGGGAGAGAAAAGGGAAGAAATAGAAAAACAAAGAAGAGAATAGAAGGGAAATAATGGAAACAAAGCTCTTGTAAATGAGGAGGGGTAGATGGGTTGAAAGGAGTGGGGAGAGGGAAAAAAAGAAGGATCAAAGATACATTATGTACAGGTACAAATTCCTTATGATGAATATGATCATTATGTATATCAAAAGTGTACCAATAAAAAATTTTTTTAATGTGACAAGGACCAGAAATGGTGGTGCATGCCTATAATCCCAGCACTCAAGAGGCTGAGGCAGAAAGATTGCCATGAGTTTGAGGCCAACCTGGGCTACACAGCAAGTTCAAAGACAATCTGAACTACATAGTGAGACCCTGTCTCAAAAAAAAAAAAAAAAA